CAGAAAAGTATCTTATCTCCAATAAACCACCAGAAAACCAGAAGTGGTGCTGTAGCTCAAGTGGTAGAGCGCTAGCCTTGAGCTGAAGAGCTGAGGGACAGCGTTCAAGCCTAGAGTTCAAGCCCCACAACCAAAAAAAAAAAAAAAAGAATTCCATTGTGTGTGTGTGTGTGTGTGTGTGTGTGTGTGTATCACATTTTCTTGATCCATTCATCTACTGAGGGACATCTGGGTTGGTTCCATATCTTAACTATGGCAAATAATGCTGTGATAAACATAGTTGTGCTGGTAGCTTTAGTATAGCCTTGTTTGTGATCGTTTGGGTAAATGCTGGATCATAGGGGAGAACTCTATGTGGAGTCTTTTGAGGAACCTCCATACTGCTTTCTAAAGTAGTTGAACAAGTTTACACTCCCACCAACAATGCAGGTAAGGTTCCCTTTTGGCCACATCTCCTCCAGCATTATTTAGATGTAATTAGATTTCTTGATTATAGCCATTCTAACTGGGGTGAGGTAGAATCTCAATGTTGTTTTGATTTACATTTCTTTTATGGCTAGAGAACTTGAGCATTTCTTCATGTGTCTCTTGGCCATTCATATTTCCTCTTCAGAGAAGGTTTTCTTCAATGACTTCACAATTTCTTGTCCTGTCTTCATCTTTCTCTTTTTCTGTCTGTCTTGGTGTCTCTCCTTTTACTTTTCTTCCTACGGTTATCTTACTGCCTGTCTCTCACCTCTGTCTTGTTTGTTCTTCTGCTTCCCAGGTCCTTCCCCAGGGGCTCTCTTCCTCTGCTGTGAACCTTCTCTAACTGCTGCTCTCTTCTCCCTTTCTGTCCTGATATCTGGGAGTGTCCCCCCAACTTCCTCCCACCCCCGTGACCCTCCCTCTCTTTCCTTCTCCATTCTTCCTCGAGGCTTCAGAAGATGAGATGGAACATGTCTTCCTGCAAAGAGCTGGCTCAGGAACAGCTGGAAGCTAGGGTTGGAGGGAGCCTCTGAGCAGTGGCCAGGAGACCCAGGGAGCCTGGGCAAGCCTGACAGGCTGAGCCCCAGCACTGTGGGGCCCCTTTGGAAACTTTCCACCACCTTCCCTGCAGGTTCCAGGAAGGGAGTGGTACCTTTTTCAGGATTTCTGACCTTGGAGGCAAGCCCACGCTCTGTCTGTGAGCCCTTAGGGAAAGCATGTGCAGGACCATGTCTCAAGCCAGCTCAAGGGCCAAGCTCCTGTCATTGAGAGAACCTGGGGGTATATCACCAAGGGGCATAGCTGGGCTAAGAAGGGGATTAGAGAATGGTAACTCAGGCCTCCTAGGATTAGGATGAGATCATGGAAAGAATGTGGAGTAATAGGCTTTGTCACTCATTCATTCAACAAACATTCATGGAGCCACCATGGTACGCCAGACTTGAGTTTAGCTCTGGGGACAAAGATGAATCAGCCATGGTTCTGTCCCTGTAAGGCTCCTCCCTCAGGTGGCTTTATTGGTAGCAGGATCCAGCAGAGTCCGTTCTGGGGTGTGGGCAGCTCAGGTTAGCTGTGGTAAGGAGAAGGAAGTAGAGAACAGGATGGTTTCTGCTGTCTGGCAGCAAGTAGGTATGGGTGAGAAATCAGCCATGTTTAGGATATGACATCCATGTCTCTGATGACTGTGGGAAGTTGAGGAGGAAGAAGACTCTGTCCAGGCCAGTATGACCTGGATAGCAGTACCCACTGAAGCTAGAGGACCAGCATGGAGAGACAGCATACAGAGCTTGTGTTGTGGGATATTGGGTGAAGCTGTGCAGGCAATTGGGCAAATGTGTCTAGGCTATAATGGCAGTTCCAGAGATGTCAGTGTGTGTGGTCATTGGCCCACTAGAGTAAATGCTATGTGCCTGGAGTAGGAGCAAAGTGAAAAGGAAAGAGGCCAAGGATAGATTCCCAAGGATTCCCATGTATATTGGGAAGGAGAAAGGAGCCTACTAGGTATATAGCTGGAGTAGTGTGGGCTTGTGAAAAGCTACAGGGCAGAATGGGTATGGGTACAAGGAGTTTCAGGTCTCACCAGCCTTGGCATGGGTCTTGTGAGACCAGGCCCCAGAAATAGCAGGTGGTGGGAACACAGGCTGGGCAGCACCTCTTATGGTTGTGCAGGGAGCAGGGGATCCCAGATGGGGACACCATTCTCCCCTACCAGAAGGGAAGATGAAAGGAAGAAGGGTGATGAATCTCAGTGGAAGTAAGAATGTGAATTTAAAAGGACTGTCTCTGATTCCTTCCAGTTTCTCCAAGCATCTCTAGTCTTGTTCAGAGTCCTAGTGGAGATCTGGAGCTCTTGAGTTTGAGGGAATGGATGGAATCACCAAACAGACATAGGAGACTCTGCCACGTGGCACTCAGGATCCAGTTGTTTCCCATGAGGCCCACACCATCAGAGTCACGTGGAGTTGTGCCCCACACTGGGACTCTCTGTCTTTGTCAGCCCAGACTCATGGCTTCAGTGGGTATTTGCTGCTGTTCTCGTGTAGTCCACTATTTTCTGCTTTTGCTGCAGCTCTCCAGACACTGGATAGATGTAAGGACCATAGTTGGGCCACGAAGGCCTCATTTTTAAACCTAAGTCTCCCTGCAGAAAGAAGATTATTTACTGTGGGGCCAGGAGTAGAGCCCAGGTCCTGCTGGCAGACAGTCCTGATGCACAAGTGCTAGAGTCTACCAATCCCTGCTTTCTTTCAGCTCAGTAGTACTAGGGGCAATCAAGAGTGGGGATGACTCCAACCCATCTAAGGACTTACCTTTAGCTTGTCACTCAGGATAGCATGCTGGATTCTCCAAAGGACCTTTGATCTTTCCTTCTCATTTGGTTTTGCAGCTATCCAAGAAACTGGCCAAAAGATTTTTGGCCCATTTGCCATATTGGAAAATGGACACTGGTGGCAGAAAAGCCACTGACTAGCCTGGCAAATGAGGTCTTACATCCTCGGCAGCAGATCAGGGCCAGAAATCTGGTAGGCTGTGTTCATGCCTGTGCAGTACTTCTCTTTTGCAACCAGCTTCCCATGCATGCCCAGTCCCTTGCTAGAACATACTGTTTTCTCCTATGTGGGGTACCTTTAGGGCCTACCCTTCCATCCTTTACCAAGCTAACAGTACCTCCTCTTGGAAGTCTGTCATATCCCAGACTGAGTTGGCTTCCTGGGGTGCCAGCATAATCCCCTGCATCAACATAGTGCTTGGATCCCAAAAGCCAGAGTCTGGAGACTGAGAGGGCTGGAACAGGCTTCTGCCTGTTCACCTCTGTGCAGTAGAACATGCAACCAGTCAGCACTGGCTAAATCAATGGCATAAATGAATAGGTAGGGAAAGGTAGGGAGGGAAATGCACCGTTTTCCATAAGGATCTTGAGTCAAACAACAACTGTCCCTATCAACAGAGCTAGAGGAGCACATTGATGCCCCCCACCCCCTCACCCCCGCTCTCTTCATGGAAGGTACTGGGTGTAACCACACTCTCAGAGTAGCGAATGCCAGCAGACCAGAAGCCCCCTGGCATTCTTTGTGATCCCCAGATGGAACTACAGAGACGGTGTCAAGCCAGCCAGATGGACATGGGTGGGCTGGGGTTGCTGTATGGTCTGGCAGGCCAGAACACTGAGTGTGGGCCCCTCTGCTCCAGCCCCCGTGTGAGCTCAGCCAGGCTGCCTCTGTGCCGGGAGCCTGCCAGCTTGTCCTCTCTCTGTTTTCCTCTACCTCCCTGGGGCTGTCAGCAAGCTGACCCTCCGGATCTCACCTGTCACCACCTATCACAGGCAATCAGAGTCACCCAGCACTGACTTCCCTTCCTCCAGGTTCTGGGACAAAGGGTAAACAAGAGGAGAGGGTGTTACCTAGGCAAGTGGGGTCCCCAGGCAGACTCACAATGGGAAGGGCTCCAGAGCCTAGGCAAGTACCCAAACAACCCCACTCAGCTCATATTGAATGGGTGGTGAGACTGAATCTAAGAGGCAGGGAGTTGGTCCCAGGGCGCTGATTCCCAGCAACACCTGTGCCCATAATCACTTGGCTTTCTGAAGATTCTTTTTAACCAGAGCCTGGAGAAGAATTCCTTGAGTTCTCAGAGTTCAGACTTCATGCCTGTATCTTGATGGAAAAAGGCCATTTTAATCTCTTCTTGAGTTTTGGACTAAATTGACCATTCCTATGTTCATATTGCCTAGCATGGAGCTGACCCAAAGCAGTGACTGAGTGAATGAATAGAGGGGAGCAGTGGAGACCAGTCCCCTCTCCACATCTTAGTGGGTCATTCTGTTGGCGCCTCCTCTCGGCCTCTGTCAGTGTCAACTCTACCCCACATTCAGTAGGATTTTCTTGGTCTTATACTTGAGTACATGCTCAGTGGCTGTCACAGGACCAGAACCATCACATGTGTTCTGTAAGTGTTGAATGGATGATGAAGAAATGAATCCATGAATGCTTGGATCTAGCCAACACATGCAGGGCTTGTGCAAGGCTGTGGAGACATGATCTTTGCCCTCTGGAGGCCCATTGAGGAGACACATAAAGCCCACTTGCATGCTGAGGAAGAAAAGCATAAATTGCTGATAGTAAGATGAGCCCTATTGCTGCTGAGGCCGAAGAGTTTCTCAAAACTGAGCCTTGTATAACTGCCAGATGCAAGTCAGGGCCCCATAGGGCAATAGGAAAACATTTGGGAGCCCTTACCACGTGTTAGCCACTGTTCTCTGTGATTCTCACAACAACCATGAAGATGGTGATTATAATCATTCCCCCTTTACAGATGAGGGAACTGAGCCACTGGGAGGTACCACTTGTGAGCAGAAAAGCCAGGATCAAGCTAGGACTATGTCTTACCCTCTGAGCCATGCTGCTTTGGAGTATGAGGCCTTCCATTAGTACAGCTTGCTTGCCCAGACACAAGCCTAAGGGATGGCCTGAGGAACTCTCCACTGGGTGGTAACCTGGCATGTTGCTGAGATGGCCTTGTGTCTTACATTCCAGGTCACTTTCTTGGAAACAACACAGTTATTGATGTCCTTCGGCAGGCAGGGCTAGAAGTGGACCACACACCTGCCGGGCAAGCCATCCACAGGTAAGCAACAGAGCTTCTGGGGGCATCGTGGGTCTAGCTGGCCTGCTTCTGACCATGTATAGGCCATGCCTGACCATATCTTATGTAGCCAACCCTCCCTGCTGTCCTTCTGGGTGTCATTGTGAAGAAGTCTGTGATGAGACAGGACCTCCTGGCTTAGACAGGCACCCACAACTGGAGGGAGCAAGAGGTGGAAGAGCAGGAAGGGGGCTGGTATGCAATTGTGATGGGCCAATGTCATGGCCAGCTAGATGGGGCGGTAGGAATGGGAGGAGTATTAGGACTTGTTAGCAGCTTGAGACTATTTTATTGAGTAGGAAGTATAAATGACATGAACACATGAGAAATGACCAGGCCCTGAATCTAAATGACACCAGGAGAAGATAAACTGTGGTCTGGCCTCATCCCTGTGTCCATCACACTGTCTGGTAGCACTGCTTCCCCCATCTACTCCTTTCTGCCTATATCTGCTCCATTGCTACCTCTGATTGTGCTCCTCACTCCCTGACTTTCCTGCCAGGGCACATCCACTCTGCTCACAAAAACACCACCCCTAGCCCCTCTTTTTTGTCAATCATGAGGCTTGAACTCGGGGCCTAAGCTCTTTTACTCAAGGATAGCACTCTATCACTTTGAGCCACAGTGCCAGTCCCAGTTTTCTGGTGGTTAATTGGAGATAGGAGTCTCATGGACTTTCTTAGACTAGCTTTGAACCACAGTCCTCAGCTCTCAGCCTCCTGAGTAGCTGGGATTACAGGTGTGGGTCACTAGCACCCAGCTCTCTGTCCCCTCTTCCTTTCGTACTTCCTCCCACCCTTGACCCCCTTACCCATACTTAGTCTGGAAGCTGCCCAAGGGCAAGAACCAATTGGTTCACACCATCCCCATCAGCACCTAGCAAGAGACAGGACCTTCAGACACAGGAATTCAGTGCAGCCCATGCTGAAGCCTTTTATGCTGGACACTTCCTTATTAACCCACAAAGATGGTCCCACATGAGCTGGGCACCAGTGGCTCATGCCTGTATTTAGATACTCAGGAGACTGAGATCTGAGGATTGCAGTTCAAAGCTAGCCCAGGCAGGAAAGTCTGTGAGACCCTTCTCTCCAATTACTCACCAAAAAAACACAGTGGAGCTGTGTCTCTAGTGGTAGAGCACCAACCATCACTAAAGAAGCTAAAAGACAGTGCCCAGACAGGGCCCCCAGGCTCTAAGTTCAAGCCCCAAAACTGGCACATGTGCTCACGCACACACATCCATACACACACACACACACACACACACACACACACACAGAGTCTCATCAGAATTTCAGCCAATCTTGAGGTTATAAGTCCCAAAGTGTGAATGGAGCTTGATTAATTATAGCCAATAACCATTAGCTGCTGACTCTGTGCTGGACACTAAGCACTACCAAGTCTCAAACAATTTGGCAAGGCAGGAACTGTGAGTAGTGTCCCTGCCTTATAACTGAGGAACCTGATTCCGTGAGTTAAGCCACTTGCAGGAGGACTTGCAGCTGAAGTGACAGTCGCGCTCTGGTACCTCTCCTGGGCTCCTTATTACCTTCTTGTACCCACTTTGGGAATGAAAAAAGACACTGAGAAATGACTGAGACCTTGAGGCTTGGTGGGGTCACCCGGAGGATGAACCTTTGGCCTCACAGCCCCAGGCCTAGGCTCCCCTGGCCCAAAGCACTTCTAGAGAAATGTACAAACCATAGCAGATTCCATCCCAGACTCCCACCTCTTCTGAGTGGACCTAAAAGACTGCTTTTCCTGCCTCAACCATTTGAGCTCAACACAAAGCAGTTGGTTTAAGGAGGAGGCAGCAGGTGTAGGAGTGTTTGAGGAGCAGGGGATGAAAGATAGCTTCAGGGTCAAGGCATCCCCCAAGTTTCTCCTCTCCTCTTGCCCTGCCCCTGCCCTTGCATCCCAAGGACCTTTCCCTTGAAGCTCATTGTGTGTGGCCCACCAGGTCAGGCAGGCAGGCAGTTCTATGACTGATGAGCATCCTATTTATCTCAGAGCCCAGACATTAGAGAACTCCTCTCATTCTCTCTCTCTCTCTCTCTCTCTCTCTCTCTCTCTCTCTCTCTCTCTC